CTCGTCTGAGCTTCTCCTGCAGTGTGCAGGAAGAAAATCTTCTGCTCTTTCTCCTTCCTTCACTGACTCTACCCCCGAAACCTCCCTCTCTTCCTTTAGAAGTCAGGGATTGAAGGACTCGATTTCAAAACTGTGCACGTCTCAGTGACTCAAGTGAGGTTTTTGTTCCGCTGCCACACTTCCGTTCACAAATGCTCCAGCGTAGGGAGGAGGGAGAAATCCCTGTTAATCTAGTGAATCTGGCTCTCTAGGTCTTTTTTGTTCACTGTTGCTGAGATCCTGACGCATTGATCTCTTAGGAGGTATGTAGGGTGTGTGGTTGGATGAACTGAAAAGTTGCTAGAGGGAGTCTGACGTCCAACTGTAGACATAATCTCTCTCTTTTTTTTTTTTTTTTTAAAAAGCTGTCTTTATTCACTTAAGAGATTGCAGATGATCAACAGTTTGCACTGACCTCTTTGAATTTGTAATGATGCATTGGTATAAATAATTACTTGTGTTACTTGTGTTAAGATTAAAAAGAAATCCTGAAAATGCATGCAAAGACCATTACAACTTGGATTTCTGGAAGATGTGGCCCACACACCTATCGACACACCGAAGAGCTATTTTTATTGGTAGAAATCCAGGACAACATTGTGTCATGGTGTTATATTTAGCAGGTAATTTAATGCTCTAATTTCACTGTAGCTAAATTGAGGGCATAATGCAAATCATCGTATTTAGCGCTAATATAGACATAGAAAAACTGTTGCACCGGCACCTGTGCAGTCTACATTGATAATCACATCTGCTTCTTTGCATTAATATCTGTTTGAATGTTATATACAGATATACTCCTTTGGGAACTTATGCATCAAAACGTGTTGAAATCCAGGTGCTTGTCTCCCTGAAATACTTTTACTATGTGCTTGGCCTGCACCAGTGGTATTGCCAAGGGGTGCTTGTTTTGTTGATCTGTGTTTAATGAAAGTGACCACGCACAGAGCATATTCGGCCATTAGCTCAGCAAGAGCCTGTAATCACTACAAGTTGTTTCCTTTTTTTCTCGCAGTTCATTATTGAACAAACATTCTGTGGGGGGAAAAGCATGTGTTTCTGCCACTTCCTTCTCCCTCTTTTTATTCCCTTTGCAGTGTTGCACTTTCGAAGCTATCGATTTGGTGGCTTGAAAATAACAAACGACAGCTATGTGAGTGGGACAACAAACAACCTCAGAAAATACAATATAAAAGGAATCCGTGAAGTATGTGCCTTGAAGTAATTATTAGCTACTGTATATGCTTAAATTTAATCAGCCAGAGATGATTGCTTTTGCTGTTGTGTGCTGCCCTCAGTCTTCTGTGAGGAAGAAAGAGTACCTGGATATGGCAGTGTCCAAGGCTATGTCACTGTGCTACACAGAGTGCCGCATATTTGGTTTTGTAGCAGGGTTGAAAAGACCTTCAAACTCAGTGGGGTGAATGTGACTAATCTAAAGACCTTGCCAAACTCTGTGTTGGCAAAGAGTACTACATACACTCACTTGAAAAAAAGCTCAATATATTCTCTATGTACACATACTCTTGATTCAAATCAATAAATGTACATTTATGGTGTGGTCAAGTTTAGTTGCACCATCATAATGCTCCTCAACGTTTGAAGCCTCAAACCCACCACTGCTCTTATTAATTCACTGGATCGTTTCATCAGCACAAAGAAGTTGACGCTATGTCCTTTTTTCTCCAGGTAGTTTTTAAATTGATAAACACATTCAGAGACATACTGAATGTAACGTCCCCATCAATCACTCACATAGGTACACAGACACTCAAGGCCTGTCTGTTTCTATTAATGGTAATCAGCTGGGTAATGATGACAGAGCTGCGACTGTGGCTTACTTACTGGTGGCTGATGGCCATGCTCTCTGACAGCTGTCAGCCGCCATGACTACACTGCCAGGGCCCTCCTTAGGACTTATTTCAGCTCAGTACATCAGCTGCAGCAGCACTTCACACACAGACTTGTTGATTATCAGCATCAGTGGGCCAGCGTGGAAAGACTTCTCTGACCGCCTGTCTGCTAATGACAGCCACCATGATGGTGGATGGGAGAAAGAGGACACAGCCTGTCACTTTGATTCATGCAATAGCAGATCCAACTGGATGGCTTCTCGCCAAAGTCTCGACAGTCGTTATATCCCCTCCTAAATGACATTTAAAGTGTGAAGCAGTGCCTGTCCTTGTGGCTCAGTCACCCCAGGCCAGGCCCCGGACACGAATCCCGAACCCTGTGCCAAGTTTTGAAGTAAGGTCACAAACCCCACAGTCAATTCTTCTCCTAGATGCCTGAACTCAGCTCATTGGCATTATTGAACGACCTTGAAGACAGATGCTTAGAGTACATTACTTAGTTTGTTTGGTTTTTTGTCTTGTAGTCCTCATATTAATTGTTTTATTCTTTTGCTTTCCTATTTTAATCTATTTTTATTATTGTACCTATGTCCACCATCGCTGAATTATTTCAAATGCTCCGTCCTGAGTTTGGCTAAAACCTAAACAGAAAATAGATGTTAGAATTGGTCAGTCTGGCTAATTCTGTTACTGATATTTAAGAAATGGGAAACTTCTGTCCAAAAATATTTGTTTCTGCACATTACCACTATGAATTTTAAATGTAAGTGCAGACTTTCAGCTGTAATTCAGTGGGTTTAACAAAAAGATTGTATAAAAATCAGAGGAACTAGAGAATTTTTTAATACAATCCCTTCATTTCAGTGGCTCAAAAGTAATTGGACAAATTATGTAACTGAAAATACTCATTTTTAGTACTCTGTTAAAAACACTTTCGTGACAATGACAGTCTTAGGGTATCCTTTGACCCAGTTTTTTGTGACTTTTGTATTATAAGGATGGTTAAGTTCCAGTCCTACAGCTAGACTCAAGTTTAGTTGTTTCTATGTTTCTGAGTTTCTTGCTCCCCAGTTTGTAGTTTCCTCTCTGTTAGGTTTTTCTGTCTCCATGTTTGTATCTCTCTCCGTGTCTCTCTCTCGCTCACTAACCTTTTTCCCCTGTTCCTCTCCTTGTGTCTCATCTTTTGCCTCCTTGGTTGTTCGTTCCCTTTGCTGTGTGTTAGGTCTGTGTCTCAGTGTTTCTTGTTTTATCTTTCGTCCTGTGTTCAGTGTGTTACGTTTTGCTTCCCCGTCTCGTCGCATCCAATTCACTGCAGTTTCACTCTTGTCATGCCTCAGTGTATTTATTGTCTGTCTTTCTCAGTCCTTTGTCGGTGCGTCAGCAAATCTCCTGCTAAATCCTCCTTGTGTTTCAACATTACCTCGTTAAAATCCAAGGTATCTCAAGGCATTCCTAGTGTTCCAGGTTTTACGTTTGTTTATTCTAGCTTCCCCAATGTAGGTGTTCCACTGTCTGTTTTTTATTATTTTGGATTAACTATTTCTGTTATCTACCTTAATAAACAGCACATCCTTAATTAAAGCACAGTTTTGTCTTCTGTAGTCTGCATTTGGGTCCTCTTATAAAGACACACACTCGTTCTCATCCAGATGTCCAGGTCTTTTTGCATTGCTCCCTATTGCTGCCACTCCTACTACTGTAGCAATTTCTTGGATGGTTTTTTTTTCTGTTTTCTCAGCTTAAGTATAGCTTGTTTCACCTGCATGGAGAGCTCCTTTGACCGCATGTTGTCTTTCACAGCAAAATCTTCCAAATCCAAGGACCACACCTCAAATAAATTCCAGGCTTTTTATCTGCTTAACTGATAATGAAATACATAGCGTTTGAGTCAATTGTCCAATTACTTTTGGTCCCTTTAAAAGGAGGGTGGCACATGTTAAGGAGCTGAAACTCCTCAACCCTTTGTCCAGTTTGAATGTGGAAACCCCCAAATAAAAGTTGAGATTCTACGCATTATGTCCATGTCTATTATTTAACTATAATTGGAACCTGTTTCAGTAAACATGTAAAAAAAACGAAACTTGTGTCATTGTCCAAATATATATAATAATAATGAATATACTGAACTGCAAAATAGGCAATGTTAACATCAATTATATTTCTGTCAAAATATAATCCGTTACAGACACTAAACATGAAGTTTTTAGTGGTTTTTGAACTGATAACAGTTTCTGGAAGACGCTAAAATGGATGTTCTTGCAGAAATTCAGTGTTATCTTTTTTCTTGATCAATTAGATATTATGTGATGAATTTTAGCCTGAGAACATGCAGCCACTATAAACACAGAACTGTGATAACCTTGTGCCTTTTGCCTTTACACTAACTTGTTTACTGAATTAATTTTACATTCGCCATGAGAGGCACAAGTTGTTTTTCTTTTTTTCCCTAGAAATGTGTTGTTAGTGTTTTCATCTATGCAACATGTACACACTTAAAATGCACACTAACACTTATTTCCATACCTCTATCCACAGTCTATCAGGGAAGTGACAGGCTATGTGTTGGTGGCTCTCAACCAGTTTGACTACCTGCCATTAGAGAACTTGAGAATCATCCGAGGAACCAAGCAATACGAGGACCGCTACTCCCTTGCAATCTTCCTCAATTACAGACGTGATGGAAACTTTGGCCTGCGCCAGTTGGGTCTAAAAAATCTCACAGGCAAGTTGAATTATTTTTTGGTTACTCACATTTTTTTTATGTTAATGGACACGCAATGAGTAAAAAAAACAATCCAGCTTCAAAACACCTGTAATATCAATTTTTACAATTCAGAGTTGAGTTAGAAGAATCACATTAAAATCAGTTGTGTGTATTAAGAAAAATTATAACAAAAGGTGATAAAAAATAGAGGAATATTTTCATTTTATGTTGTTTTTAGGCCTCCGTGCAAGCAATAGTTAGGGCAAGAGGCCCATTCCATGAAGAAAACAGTGAGTGTCTCCAAAATGATCCCCTCAGAATCACAATGCCTTCAGTACAAGAATTACACATGCAAAGCACATGAAAATTTAATAATTTAATAATTATTGCAAGTCTCACAGTCTAAAGCCAAATTCCCATTTATGTTCAGCATGACTTTGCTATTGCTACCAAATTTGACCATTTATATCATGGATACACTCAAGCTTCAAAAACAAAAACTCCATCATTAATATCTTAGTCATGGAGTATCAAACACTAGAAGTCTAGATGTTTTCTGATAATTCACAAACTTCAAAAAGTACTTTTTGGGTAAACTTTAAAGGGTTCTATCACCATGTGGCATATTTAGCTGATCAAAACAAGTTATAGAATATGAAAGGTTTCCTTTTTACCTATATTTTGATATCAGGCTCATCTTCTAGTTGTCACTCCTTAAAATATTCCTTAAAATATATATTTTTTTTCTGCTTCTGGAACATAAGAAATTTAAAAATCACAACTTTAAAAACGTCAAATTTTAAACTATCACCGTGTAATTTAAAGGCCTGTGACTCGGAAAATATTCAGTATTCAACTATGACTCATGGAAGTCGTGACTGGAGTTTTGTCAAACAAGATTAAAAAACTCAAACATACAGCCATGGATGTAAACTGCAGCTTGACTCTTTTGACAAAGACACACAGCATACTGTATGTATACTTGCACTTATAATTCACATTGCACAATCAAACAATTTAAGTGTGCTGGAAGTGGGTTACTCTTTACTTTTTTTCTTTATCCTGACGGGTGCTGTTATCACAGTTCACCTTGTTATATGAAGGGGTATTATACCATCTGACAAAGTTGTGAAAATACATCTAATTTATCATTTCCAGCTATTGCTCAGACAAAAACGTATTCTTGTATGAGTTACCACCTGAAATCTATTTGAGAATATTGTGTCCTAGTGATTGCTGATAAACTGCGTAGTAAGAAGGAAAGGATTGTGTGGGCGGCTCTGCCTTTTTATGAAAAATGATCCAGTGCTAGAAGGTTATCTTCTGCAGACTGACCCTGAGGTCAGCACAAAATGAACCTCTAGACTCGCAAAAAAGATGCACAGCTTTTCCACTACAGAGCAGCACACCTTTCTTGCAGTGAGTTCGAAATAAGATCAAAGCTGCCATTCACTCATCTTGAAGCTAAATCCAACATCACAAATGATCAAAGCGGGCGAAGATATGGACAGAATCGATACTTTGTGGTGGCTGAATAAGAGTAAATAAGGGTTTGCATGACCCTTGACAGCTCTGATAATGTTCAAGATGGAGAAATAGATACATTAAGTGATCAATGCATCAGCACATCTCTATGCTTGTGTGTTGATCACAGTAAAAATGTCATCTGCCACACATGTTAGCTCTTGTTCTGCAGCAGCTTTGACATTAATAATGAATACCTGTATTGTTGCCTACATTTAAAAATAACAATAACAAAACATAAATAAATAAAAACAATAATAACTTTTCTTAATTGCTTACTCAAAGTGGGTCATGTTGGGGCGGTGTCTGTTGCAGGTGACAAACTAGTACACATGTCTTTGGAAAAACCAATTGAATATCAATTGAATTGCTCTTAAATCAGATTTACAGCACACAGAATTTACTAGAATTTAACAACTACCTATCTAAAAAAAAAATACAGACAGGCTGTATCTGTATACACAATGTAGACACAATATAAAGAATTCCAAGGGAAACACTGAGTCATAAGAAGAAGACAGTGACATTGGCGTGTTCCAAAAATGTAAAAGAAAAGAACAAAATGACCTAGTGAAAGATTAGCATTCAATTCGTGACATTTACGAAGATGTGTGAGGATGGTACTGAGACTGTGCCTTCCTTACCTCTTCCAAATTCACTTTCTAAATAATTCATTGTTGTCTTCAGCTGTTCTTTCCTGGTTGTTCCCCAGAGTTGCGAGAAACAACGCAGCCATCAGTCTGCATGTGCAGCTTCAGTATGTGCTGGGGTGTTAACGTTCTGCCTTCTATTCTTTCTCACACGTGGTGCCATACTTGGGGAATTACATTTGTCCAGCATAGCATTTTGCTGTGCCCTTCCTTTTCCATTGTGGTGCCAAGTTGAAGTGAGCGTGGAGGGAGGCCAGGGCGGTTCTCTGTGAGAAGCTGCTGTTTGATGTGCCATCCGTGGCCTCAAGCCATGAAGTAGAGGGGGAAGTTATGCACAACAACCAGGGTCAGAATCTGCTCTACTTCATAACTATGAGTGCTTGTGTTTCACCCCTGTGCTCGCTTTCGTGGTGACAAAAACATGTTGGTTGTTGTTTGTTCTTATTAAGATGCAATCATTTAACGATTAAAGGTTTGGTTTGTGTTGAAATATATTATGTAGAGATCAGAAATGGCTCTCACGGGTGCCTCTAGAAGAACAATTAATATACCCCACATGGCCTTAATCATCACTTGGTCAGTGTGGGATTACATCAAGGGAGATAAGACACTGAGGTGACCTAAATCACAAATAGCTTGATAGTATTACTTTTAAAAGGACCTATCCTCTTGTGTCTTGAACTTTTCACACGTACATGCATGTCAGCTTTGGGTAGATAGGGCCGTTCACGATCATGTCTATAACTGTGGACCCTAGAAAACCTTTATACAAACTTGTCACTTCAGAACAAGAAACTTGTCTTGAAGGGTCTATCATATCACTTTTTTTTGTGCAGATGGACCTGACAGTTAAACAAGCTCTTGCTGTGGGGAGAGACAAGTCACTTGTGTCCCAGTTTGTTCTGTTGCAGTTGTCATCATTTGGCTGTGCGCAAGCGGAGAAAGGAAATAAGCTAAAACTATCAGGATAAACCCGCTCCTGTACTTCAAGCAGCAGAGATCAAACTTCCTTTCCTTCAGCTGCTGTAGCGAGTCCAAAGCAGTCTCATTCATTACGAGGCCTTTGATGTTGCTGTCATATTAGCCCATCGTTCTTCTTGCAGTAGCTCCCAGGGGAAGTGTAAAATGATCAATAAAATTCATAAGCAACATATATAAGAGGATAAAACATATTAAATACATAAGGGGCTAATCGAAAGAAGGCACAGTGAAAGACCCCTTCGGTGCTGAAACCCACACACAGTTCTACTTGGTTTGAAATTGCCTTGGGATGAAATCAATTTGTCGCTAGTATATTGTAGCATTGCACTTATTGATTTTCCTGGTGCACTCTCCGCGAGCTGTGAATGGACTCTCTGGATTTGAGGGGACTGGAGGATGGGGTGGAGGACGTCTCTGGCTGAGCAGGGATAGGACTCCCTCTGATGCACCTTTCAATCAAGCTTAGCTAAGTTATCCTCATGAATATGAAATATAAGGCACAGTCAAGCCGGGGAAAGTTAAGGATAGTGTGTGTGCACGGGGGTGTATAGAATAAGAAATATAGGCACTAAGTGCAGAAAGTTTAGTTGTGTTGTTTGACATTTCTTCCTCTGGAACAAAAAACAGTCCTGGCCGTTATAAGACTATTCATTTTTAGGCATTTTGGGTGTGCAAGTGAGCTCTCTGATAGCTACAAGGAAAAGCTTTAAATAAGTCATTCTTTTTACTTCTCCCTATGTCCAAGCAAGAAAAAAGGTTAAATACAGCTGGCTTCTGACATTTTCAAAGTTCCCTATCCATATTTTGATGCATAATGACCCGCACTGTCCTCCTTCTTGCTACGGCAAACATTTTCACCACTTCTGTGTGGATTCACATGAACCCTGGGTACCCTCTGTGCTTTCACATGGTAATTACAGCCTGCTTCCCTGGCAAAATAATAACAGCCTCAATAAGGAGCACAACACAGATGAGCTTTCTGATTTTGCCCCCCCCCCCTCTATTTTCCTCATTTCATTTCTTTCAGATTTGTTTTGTGCTGTTGATTCATTTTTCTAACCACCCTACGCCTGCACTGCGTCTGTCCAAAATGAAGCATCCAATCTGAGGCCCCATCTGCTGAATGATCCTCTCTCATCGCATGCATGTACACAAGCCTGTGTTTTACGCCAAGGCGTTAACCACTCCTTCATGGCCCATCTGCTCTCTCTTTGTCTATCCCATTTTTTGTCTTTCTTCCATCTCTTTATCCCTGTCTTTGGCTCTCTGTTGGTCATCATATTTTAGTTGGCTGTCTTGATTTGTCACACTGATGCCTTTCACACAAACACATGCATGCTTGTACCAATCTGTACTGTATGCAAAAGTCTCTTGCACACTTGAGTCTGACTCTGTTCTCCAAAGGCTACTGCAGTTGTTGAGTCAATATCATCTGCTCAGTGTGTCCTTCTTAGTGTTACGTGACAGTGATACACAGGGGAAGCAGGAAAAGGATGGAATGGGGCACGTTGACGGGAATGATTTGAGTTAATGTGTTTCCCCCAGACAAGGAACTGGTAAATGGGGGGGCATAAAATTGGAGCCTTTTTCTGATCCCCAAGATTTTCGTTCATCGTCTAACTACTAGTAGACGAAAGAGAAATTCGGCCACGGGAGCCAGAGTAGATTGGTTCAGTGCACATCACAAGAATTCAGCCAAGCCTCTTGCCTGGGAGCCCACATACCTCAGGTCTCCTTCAATTGTGTGTCTAATTGATTACTTCCCATGCAATTACTCCTGTGTCACACTCAATATTTCACCACTGCAGGAAGGGGGCAAGATGGGGCGTCTTTTTGAAGGACGACATTCATATTGTCACATTT